AACTTTCTTTACAGGCGTGGCCTAAACCTGTCTAAAGATCAAAATTTAATGGCTTAAAGCAAGTGGGCTTACAAACTTTCTATTTTCATACTTCTGGAGTTTCTGTGGATTTATTTCTCTAAAATACCCAGACTATCACAATTACTAACTCAATGTCATGTGGCTGCAAATAGTTATTTTCTCAACATTACTGGCCTTTTCATTTGAGTTATGAGTTTTCAAGTTCTCCTGTTTACATATATTTTCCTGTGTATTCTTTCAGTTACAGTTCTCCACCAGTTCCTGAGTATGGAGGATGCAGGTCCTTCATCATCTGGCCCCTTCCACCTCTGCTTTGGCAATTCATCCCACCCCAATGCATGTGCTAGCCATCCTCAAAGAGCCTGAGTGGCACAGCGCTTATGCTGTGGGCTGCTAACCTCAAGGTTAGCCGTTCAAAACCACCAGCTTCTCCACTGGAGAAAAACAAGGCTTTCTACTCCAGGAAAGAGTAGAAACCCAGAAGAGCAGTTCTGCTCTGTCCTCCAGGGTGGCTGTGAACCAGACTCGACTAGGTGGCAGTGAGGTTTTCGTGTGCTTGTTTGTTTATTTGCTTGCTTGCTTGTTTGTAATTTGGAGCCATCCTCAACTATGCTTTATGTGAGTACAAAATACTCACATTTTAGAATTTCTACATCTGCCCAGAGCACTTTTCCTGTTCCATCCACCATGTAACTTCCCATGCTCAGAATTCAGCTCAAACATCATCTTTAAATCAATGTGACCTAAGGATTCAGTGTACAGGTCCTCGGGTGAGAAGTCTGAGCTAGAGTCTCAGCTCTGTCCTTTAGCAGCTGCATTTGCCAGGCAAGTTAAACTACTCACACTGCCATGTCCACATCTGTTGAAGGAGAATGAAAATAATGGTGGCTCAAAAAGTTAAATACAACGCCATTGTATGAACCAGAAATTCCACTCCTAGATATAGTTAAGAGACTTGAAGGTCTATGTTCATGGTAGTGACATAATCTGGTGTCAATTTGAGAATTAAAAGTGAAGGGGTGGAGTTTAGCCTGTCAATCAGGCCGCAGCTTGATAACCTCATTTGGAGGCGCTAAGGAGATAAATAGCTCACTGGAGGCAGACACACAACTTCCTGGGAGATATGCTTGGGGACAAGACACATGGAGATATGCTTGGGGACAAGACACATGGAGCTATGCTAGAGCCCTGGAGCTGAGGACCTTGTAAACATTTTAAGTGAAGGAAGCCAGCCTCAAATGGCTGCGTATTATATATAACTCCATTCTTTTCAAGTATCTCTAAATTCTCAAACCAAACTCACTGCCATCAAGTTGATTCTGACTCATAAATCCATAGAGTGAGACTAGTGGTTTGTAGCGACTGAAAGAAGGGGAGACTAGAAAGTACTACTTAGTGGATGTAAGATTTCTTTATGGAGTGAAGAAAATGTTCAGGAACTAGATAGCATGGATGGTTACTGATTTCAGTACCATAAAATGGTATATGAATTGTACCTTATTTTTCAAAAGTAGTACCATAGTGGGAGTCCCACTGGTGCAGTGAGCTAAGCATTGGGTTGTTAACCTCTAGGCCAGTGGTTCAAATCCACCAACTAATCTGAGAGAGAAAGGTGGGGTGATCTGATTCTGTAAGGCAAATCCCTTGTAAAGATTTACAGTCTCTGGAAAGGAGGGGCAGTTCTACTCTGTCCTACAGAGTTGATATGATCTAACAACTTGGTGGCAACATTTTTGTTTTGTTTTGTTTAGTGCTATTGATTGATTATACAAATAAATATCAGGCCTGGCTGGAGCATAGGGCTTAGTTGGTCTGTTGCGCCAAGCTAACGAAGCATATAGAATAGGGCCTGCCACATAATATGGGGGGGTTCCAAGAAACTTTTGGGAAAAGTACTTTTATCAATTTAGAGCTTTTACTTTATTTTGTCTAGTGGCTCCTTATGAGGATGATGGATTATAACCAACTGTGTATCCCTGGTACCCATCACAGGACCTGGAATTTGTACTTTTTATTGGATAACTTAAAAGTTGCCCAAAATTTAAAGGTCAATGGGGACTAGAACTGGGTTTATATCCAAGGACTATGCTCGCTTTATAGGTATGAGTTGGGAGGATCAGTTATAATTTCTGAATCAAGGAAAATCATAAGATCATTTGCTATTTTTACATTTTGTTACAAGAGAAACCAAGATTTAAGGTGCTGTGTAATATTCTCAGACCACATGGAAGAGAGGATGAATGAAGACATTTTTCTGAACACAGAGACACACACTCGGCACCTATAAGGTTATGATTACCAAGAAGCCATTAGATGCCTATTCAGAATTTTTCTACGTACTAGAAGGAATAATTCATAAATGGTGTTGAACTTGAGAAGATCAAGGTGAAGATGCAGGGGGTCCTCGTCTTTGAGCCTTCCACCTCTTTGCCCATATCCTGATCTCTCTAGGTCTAAGAACATTTCTATGGCAAAGTTTATACAAAAAGAAGAGCTAGTTCTCTGAAGTTCCAGGGAGCAGTAAGCCAGACATATCTGAAAGCCAAGGCCAGTGGCCTTGCCTGCAATTCAAAAAAGCCTCTTCCCTCTCTCACCCCCACGGTGACCTTTTTCCGAAAATTATTTCCATGATGCAGGCACTAAATTAAGTGGATCATTTCCTGTTGCAAATTCTCCTTGCTATCTTAGTTATTTTACATGCTTGAAATTATATTTTTAGTGAACATATTTAAAAAACAGAAATAAATGCAAATCCTTGCAGAGCTTGTCTAACTCTTGTAATACTTAACGACATAAAAATTCAATGTATTATTTATAGCCAGATATGCTGCAGCTTAATTTCACATGTAAATCTTCAGAATTTCAAGGGTGTTTTTTTTACTGAAAATAAAAAAATTTAAATCTCTTCAATGCCACTTGTTTTCTCTCATGTTTTATTAACGAATCTATTAACACTTACATAGCAGAAATTCCAATCCAAGTTAACATCTTGCTTTAATTCAAAATACAATTATAAAAAATACAACACAGCTGACAAATGTATGACCTGTATGCAAACTCTCTCAGTGGAGAAATGTCCTCAAGAAATGTCTGGGTCCTGAGTAAGTTCTCTCCATGAATGAAGGCACCCAGAATCCATGATGCTTGCTCTTAAAATCCGTTATTTAACTCTTCAGTGTGTAATGAGGCTCAAAGAGAAATCAGATTGGAGCCTCAAAATCTTCAAACCAGCCCGTAACACAAGAACACTTTGTTCTAGTAACCTGGCAATCTTTGATAGTCACCTTCCCAACATGATCGCTGAAGATAAAATGGGTGCATAAGCAAATGTGGTGAAGAAAGCAGCTGGTATCTGGCTATCAAAAGATATAGCATCTGGGATCTTAAAGGCTTGAAGTTAAACAAGTAGCCATGTAGCAGGGAAGCAAATAAGCCCTGATGGAAGAAGCACACCAGTCTGTGTGATCATGAAGTGTAGACGGGATCAGCTATCAGGTATCAAAAGATCCAAAACAAACAACGATATTGATGTGAATGAGGGGGTTTGCAGTGGAGACTCAAAGCCTATCTGTAGACAGTTGTATATGCCCGCACAGAAGGGTTATAAGGAAGGGATGACTCAACCAACAAAAGACACATCATTCCTCTAGTTCCTGAATGCTTCCTCCCCACCACTACCATGACCCAATTCTACCTTACAAATTTAGCTAGACTGGAGAACACACTTGGTACAGATAAGAGCTCTTGACACACGGAATTCAGGACAGATAACCACCTCAGGAACAGTAGTGGGAAAAGAGATATCATGAGAATAGGGGAATGGTCGGGGAGGGTGAAGGAGGAGAAAGAAGGAATCCATCATAAGGTTGACTATATACCACCAGCAGCCCCAACAAATGGAACAAATAACAGAAATGTGGGTAAAGGGAGACAATGGACAGTGTAAGATATGAAATAATAATAATAATGTATAATTGAACATTGATTTACAAGAGTGGGAGGGTGGGAGCTTGAGGGAAGGAAGGGGGGCGGGGAGAGGAGCTGATACCAAGGGTTCCAGTAGAAAGAAAATGTTTTGGAAAAGATAATGGCAACATATGTACAAATATGCTTGATACAATGGATGTATGGAATGTTATAAGAGCGGTAAGAGCCCCCAATAAAATGATTTTTTAAAAATCTTCAGACCAATTATAATAGTTGAAATATTGATACCAAATGTGAGGCTAAACCAATTCATAAAGAAGCACCAGGATGCAGAGAAGGGAAAGCACCGCAGTACAAGCAGAAGCAGTCAGGTTCCAACAGAAAGAGAGCAAAGAGGAGGTTGTTAGGGAAGAAAACCTGGCTTCCTCAGCCTCTTTCTCTATGGTTCTCATGGTCAGCCTGTTTCAGTGGCATATTGGACAGACTGATCCTTGCTTTAAAAATAGTAAGGAAAGAATAAGGAGAAGGAGTGGAATAAGGAGAAGGAGTGGAGTAAGAAGAAGGGGAAGAAGGACAAGAAAGGGCGGGGGGGAGGAAGATAAAAAAGAAATAAGGGAGGGAGGACTAAAGCTACGCTACTTTTAAAGAATGGACTTGCTTCAGGGAAGAATAACTCCTCTAGTAATTCTTTCACCCAGGAAGAAGACCCTAATATAGTTCCTGGTTTTTTGCTCTAAAAATCATATGAGCACACTTCAGTGAAGGCAGATGATTGACGCTTCATTGTCAGAATTTATATGAAAATTTTGGAATATGACAGTGGTAAGGGACTTTGGAGCCCCTTCTCCACCCCACAAGGTTACAGGGGGCTGAGGTTCCCGTCTTCAGCGATAGCTCCCTCCCTGTGCACGAAGGTGAGAAAAGTGAGGTGGGCATGTGAGTGGCTGTATCTTGAGGGAAATTGTCGATTTAGTCAATTGAGAGAACATTCCTAGGGGATGTAGGTTGCAGAAGAAAGCAAGTGGAAAGAAATTTATAAGAGTAAATGCATAGTGTTCACTTCTGCAGCACATATACTAAAATTGGAACAATACAGAGAAGATTAACATGGCCCCTGCACAAGAATAACATGGAAATTCGTGAACTATTCCATATTTTTTAACCTCAAGCTCACGTATCATCGCTCTTTAGGCTGAAACTCCCTAGTGTCATAAGAAGCAGATAACTGCTAGTACAAGGCCATAGAACTTATGGACATTGGACTTTGATTCTAAATTTTTGCCTTGAGGGTGCCCAGTGAATGGTAGCCTGGAACTAGCATACACTTATTAATCTGGAAAATGTGGCTCTACTGATGTAGGTTAATATTATTGGAAGAATTTTCCTTTCAACAACCCCCACTGTTGTGTAAATAGTATCTACTCACTTAAAAAAGAGTTTAATTTGTACAAGTCAACAATTCATGTATTGTGGTTCCTGGCTGGCCTATACTTATAAAATTTCCTTTTCTCAACAGTTTACTAAATTCTATACGAGAGACTAAACTAAGCACACTATCAATGTATAGTTGATACTCATTGGGCTGCTAACCGTAAGGACAGCAGTTCAAAACCACCAGCCAGCTCCAAAGGAGAAGGATGAGTCTTTCTGGGCCTGTGAAGATTTGTAGACTTGTAGACTCACCGGGGCAGTTCTACCCAGCCCTACAGGGTAGTTGTGAGCCAGCATTGACTTGCTGGTAGTGAAAATGTTGCACCGGGAAGATGACTGATAATGTTCTCTAACATAAAATGACAGTGATGTCTCTAAGGTGAACCAGAGACATATATATGAGTAGGTACCCCGCCCCCAACCCCCCAAAAGGAAACAAGCTCTGCTGGGCAGAGCTTTGGTCGTATGCATTTTTCTTCCTAGGCAAGCACTGAGCAACTTACTCTGAGTTAGTGCACTCAGTGGCATTGCCTGGGAAGGTTCTCTCTAGTCACAGTGAAATTTTTTGTAAAAGCAATTTTGCTTGAACCTCATTTATTGTGATGACTGATTTAAGAGAACAGAGTGTAGCTATGAACTTTTGTTTCCTGCTTTGGAAAAATGCAGCAGAAACTGTTGTGATGTTGAACACAGCTTCCAAGGCAGCACTACGGGGAAAATTCGAGTGTACAAGTGGTTTTCTCACTTCAAAAAACGCTCATCAACTTCTTGAACAGATGAAAATGTCAACACGTAGTGCATTTGGAGTTGGGTCAAACTGTTAACCAAGCTTATTATTTAAAGGTTGAAAAGATAGTGTGACCAAAAAGGCCTGATTTGTGGCAGGCAGGGGACCAGTTTTGCCACCATGACAGTGCACATGCTCACGCAGCCAGCTCAGTGTGCCAGTTTTGAGCAAAAAACAGCATACCTCTCTTGCCCCATGCAACTTATTCACCTGACCTCACTATGTGCAACTTCTTTTTGCATGAAAGGACAGTGATTTGATGACTTAGAAAAGGTGAAGAAAAAAAACAAGGGAGGAGCAGTCAACCATCCAAACAGATGAGTTTGAAAAATAGAATAGCAGATTTGACAAATGTATTAACTGTAATGGTGAGTCCTTTGAATGTGATATGGTTGTTTTGTAAAACACAAACAAACAAACACATAGATTTGAAAAAACTCCATTTTGGGGTGGTACTCCCTTCTAGCCCCAATCTAAGAGCAATTAGTTCTTATGGCATAGCCCTATTTAATGCTTGCCCTCCTGAAGCGATCACTGAAGACATGGGTGCTGTAGCAAAGTGTAGTAAAGAAACTAGTTGGTGTCTGTCTATCAGAAAGCATAGTGACTGAGATCTTAAAGGCTTGTTTTCAAACAATCAGCTATATAAGTGAGGTATCAACTAAGTCCCATGGAAGAAGCATACTATTTTGTGTGATCCAAGAGTTGTAAAATAAGATAATCCAAATCTAAAGGAGGAAAAGGCATCAGAGTGTATATTATGAACACCTAGTTTGCAGAAGGCTGTGGAGGACACTGAAAGCCCAAACAAAATCCATCTGCAGGGTCCACACATGGATTAAGCCTGCAGTAAATCTCCTCCAATCATAGTTGAGGGATGTAAATAATCCTGGTAGCAGACAGAGAGTATTGGAAAGTTGATAATGACAGACATAATCAGCTCAAAATGTAATATCTTGTTATTTGTTCTCCCCTTTGATCCATTTTAAAGCTGTTCCTATTTTAAAAATAAGAAGAAGGGGAAATACATGTGGTTAACCCCCTCTGATCATGGACCAGAGATGTGAATAGTCTTGCTAACATCCAAAATCATTGGAAAATGGATTGTTGTAGATGCAGTAAAATCAAAATTCACTACCCTATCATTTGATTTCCCTTGTGGTCTACTTAAATTTGTTCTAGTCTTTAATTTTTTTTTTTTTTTGTGGGTCACGAGCACTTTTTAATGTCCTGGGGAAAGAGTGGAGGGTCCAGTTGCAGGGGCCCCAGTCTTGCGCCCGCACCGCCCGGTCTTTGTACTTGGGCCGCAGCGCCTCAGCCCTGTCGAGTCTTTAATATTTTATGATTTCTTTTCTGTTGCGGTTTTCATCTGTTTACTTTGCTATTCTGGTTTGTTTGTTTGATTTTAAATGTTTACCGTATATGAAATCCAGGATCTGTATATCTATAGAGACAGTAACTGGATTAGTGATTCCTGGGTGGTATGTCGGAGAAGGTTGGAGGAAAACAAGGAGCTAATAAGAATGAGTACAAGAATGAAGAAAATGCTCTAAAACTGATTGTAGTGATGATTGTGCAGCTCTTCTTGATGTGATTGAACTATTGAATTGTATGACATGTGAATTATGTGCCAATAAAACTATTGGTGGGAAAGAAGAGTGAATGCATAGAAATGAAAAGTTGCGGGGATGTTGCAAGCTATCTTGGTAAAAAGGGGGGAGACTTAGTCCACCTAAAGTATACCAGGAGGTGGTAGACACCAGCACCAGCACTGAATGGCAACCTCTACAATCATTGTACCTAACACCAAATTCAGAGATAATCTCAGAAGCATATACATTAATGTGTGTACATGTGGGGTCGAGGTGGGTGTACAGAAGAGGATTCCCCATGCTAGAGTAGGAGGTTATTTCCAAAGGAAGGGTAGAGATTGACATGTTTAAACCTCAAGGAATGGGGAGATGGGGGGGCTGGGGGGTGAAGGGCTAGAAAAAGACCTTCTTGAATTATTAACGGTCATTAATAAGAACAGAAACCCAAACTAGACTTGCTGCCATCCACTCGATACTGACTCACAGCGACCCCCCACGGGTTTCTGAGACTATTTATGAGAGTAGAAAGCCCAGTCTTTCTTCTGCAGAGCTGCTGGTGATTTCAAATGGTCATCCATGTGGATCGCAGCCCAAAGCATAACCACTACACTACCAGGGCTCTTTGTCATTGGTAAGAAGAAAGTGAAAATCTTATAACCATAGAACTCTAGATGTAGTAATACGATAGGTAATATTTGTAAAGCAAAGGATAAGCACATTATATGTGCTATCTTCATGAAATTCCTAAAAGGTAGTTTTCTTTTTCTTTTTTTAAATCATTTTCTTGGGGGATCATATGGCTACTATATTATCCCATAATTTAGGTGAGACATTTGAAACCCAGAAAGAATAAGTAACTTACTCAAGGAAATTGCCAGACAAGAGGCAGGTAGTTGCTCCAAAGAGAACTGGAGTCTAACCTTTTAACTCAAGGATTATAGTTTCACAAGTTTATCATTTTGTTAGCTTCTTCCTGAACTTTCTTTCATGATAATAGTTATGTGTTTGTCTTAAATCACAAAGTTGGAACTCGGGAAGTGCTACCCTGAGGGAGCCAGTTTGGCGGGGTGGACACCTTGAGAAGTAGTCCCTTGAGGTAGAAAGTAGAACAGAAAGCAATGAAGAGAAAATTGGGAACATTTAGGAAGGAGAAACGGTTGGATGCTTAGAAGCTGTTACCACAGAATAGATATTAAAATGTCAGAGAAACTCTGTTCACTAGTGGATGATATAACATTGTAAGCTTTGAAGTTGGGAATTGGATCATATTGGATGGGATCCTTAACAAACTCCCTGTTTTTGTTCAAACAAAACACCTAGAGAATGATGTGGGGTGGGCAGCAGGCTTGGGGCAGGGCAGGAGCCTTGAGGGCTTCGGAATATTAAGACTCAGGCACATGGAAATACAGCTTCTTTGTCCACTTGCGTAGGCCATTTGGGAATCACTGGTGCTGTGGAGAAGAGCCTTGCGTTGCCCAGGAACTTGCCAACCGAAGGCTGGTAAAGGAAGGCCTTTCCCTCCTCACTATCTGCAGTGAGTGTTAGGCACTAGAACAATCACTCCCTGGAGACCACAAACCTTGGGAGAGAAAAGCTTCTCCTAGCAATCCGAGGGCTACAAGAAATGGAGCTGTCTGTGAGACATGTAAGAATGAGAACTACATACTAGAAAGAGAGTGAACCTGGCGGACAAGGAGTCTGTAGATAAGAACATCCTCCTCCTTTGTCCAGACCCCTTCCCTATAAAACGTCCATGTACCTAGAGTTTCTTCCTGGCATTCAGCTCCTTTGAGACCACCCAGGGGCACTGTTTTCTGGGGTGGGGGTTGGGGTGGAGGCCAGGAGTGGAATCAAGGGCTGGGGAGATGCTAGTCTAAGGGAAGAAGGAAGGAAAGTGGAAGGGACCCCAAAGAAGGTTCACCAGGATGGAATGTATAAACGTAATACACAGGCATAAACTCACTGCGATCAAGTCAATGCTGACTCACATCCACCTCCTACGGTAACTGTTATGAGAGTTACAGTCTTTCTCCAAGTTTCTCAGAAAGCCCAGTCTTTCTTGCCTGGAGCCGCTGGTGGTTTCAAACGGCTGACTATGTGGGTTGCAGTGAGTTTATGCCTAAACACGCCACCAGCAGGCCTCCTGCAATACAGAGAGTAAAGAGAGTAAAAAGGAACATTAGTAAATTGTACATCCCAAAGAGACCTCTTAGCTGCTGCTGGCAGCATTCCAGGAACTCAGAGGCCTCCGTCAGAAGAGCCAGCAGTAGTCAGCCCCATAAGAGTGTCAGGATGAGAGTTTCATCTTCCTACATTTTCATATTTTTTTGTTTTTTAACAAACAAACGT